GAGAGAGTAAAGAAAGCTCAATTTCTAAACCTAGACTCAAGATCCTTAGGGACCTGACTTCAACTTGTTTTCAAGGCCAAACTTCCCACAACTTTGCCTCAAACACCTTATGACTGAGCAGAAAGGAAATATCAAGTGACCCGGTAACATAAATTATGACAACAGAAATAGCTGAATCGCTGTGGATGTTTGACATGCACCAGGCCCTGGGCTGGGACACTTGGGTGAGTTGCAGTATATTTTAATCCACATAGCAACCTTACAAGGGGGGCTGTTCTGAGCCCCACGGCTCTGCAAGCCAAGGAACTTCTGATCACACAAAGCCACAGAGGTCACAGCACTGCCTTGGAGGCCCCCAAGGTCTGTTTCCAGGCCTTGCTCTTAAACAGTGCCTGTGTCACGGTGTTCCATGCCTGAGGTGCTGCACGTGCTACTCCTCCCACCTCCTGCACAAGCGACCTTTCCACCCGACATGTGATCCACACCGCAGGGCTCGACTCATGGGTCTCCCAGCCAGGGAGCTCTTCCTGCTGCCTTCTCCCAGAAGGTGCCTCAAAAACTACACAGCGTTTCATACACGCCTCTGTGACACCCTTCCACCAATGCCTTCATTTAACAAACACAGCTGATGTTCGTCATTCAAACTAGTCTACGAAGTCTCCGTGCATGCTGAATTAGCAAATACTGTTCTATTTTTCTAGGGTGAGGATAGAGGTGGCTTCTGGCTAGTCTCTTCTCCCATTCCTTTTTTTTTTGTCTTTTTGAGACAGGGCCTTGCTATGCAGTTCAGGCTGGCCTTGAGCTCACTTTGTAGCCCTGGCTGGCCTCGAATTTGCAATGATCCTCCTGCCTCAGCCTCCTGAATGCTGGGATTACAGGCATGTGTTACCATGCCTGGCTCTTGTCCCATTCTTGTCAACTGATCAAAGATCACTTTATTTTGTGCATGTTCCTGGGCATAGGCATCTTATTTAGTGGGTCCTGTGGATTTGGTAAGGTTGACCTCAGGGCAGGCAGATGGCCCGGCAATGCACAGCTGGACAAACACATCAGCCGTGTGCTTTTCACAGCACACCTGTGCTAGTGACAGTGGAAAGGGGTCACTCTGCTATGGGGGCACATTTGATGTGTTTCTCACACAAACCAACCTCCCCCTAGTTTATCCTGTCTGTCTTTCAAATTATTTTTCCAACAATCCCTAAACTGTCTCCTGGCCTAAAATTCCTCACTTCTGCCACAGCGCCTCTTTCCCATCGAGTCTGCCCTCGGACACAACGCTTTCTGATGCACCTTTCCATTCAACACTGTCTCCCCCATAATCCCCATCTGGGCCAACTTTCTCCTCCCACAATTCTGCATCTCCCATTCCATCTTCTCCCCAGCAGTTCTATCCTATCCCGTATTTCTTGCTCTCCCCTAGTCCCCAGGTCCTGTTCTCTTTTAACTTTTCCATTTGCTCACGCATGCTGATGGTCTGTTTCATAATTTTTGGTTGATGCTTCTTACTCGTTAGTAAGAAATTAATGATTCTTACCAGGCGTGGTTGTACACGCCTGTAATCCCAGCACTTGGGAGGCTGAGGCAGGAGGATTGCCATGAGTTGGAGGCTAGCCTGGGCCACATGCTGAGTTCAAGGACAGTCTGGATTACACAGCGAGAACCTGTCTCAAAAAACTAACCGCCACCACCACAACAACAAAACCCAAACACAACAAACAAACAAAAAAGAAATTAATGATTCTTCCCCCCCCCACTTAATAAAGGTGTCTTTTTTGTTGTCTTTTTGAGACAGGGTCATGCTATGCAGTTAGGCTGGCCTTGAGCTCACTTTTTAGCCCAGGCTGGTCTTGAACTCACAACAATTCTCCTGCCTCAGCCTCCCAAGTGCTGGGATTACAGGCGCCTCGCAATAAAGGTGTCTTGACTTTTTTCCTCCAATTCCCTTTGCACTCCGAATGGAATAAAAAACAAGCATGCCGCTTTGTTTAGCCACATAAAACCTTACATGACATCCAAAATTACTTTCTGCATTTCTGTAATAGCACTAATCTCACCAAAGACCATAGAGAAGAGATGAGGAGTCATTTTACCAACCTTTCAAACAGGCTGCTGTGAGCATGCCCCAGGGTCTGATATCAAGGTTACATTTCGAGGACAGATACTTAGCCAGATAGCTCAGTTCAAGGAATGGTAGACCTATAGAAACTAAAGTGAACGGGGGCTCTTGGGGCCAGCTCGGAGTATCTGTCACCACTCAGTGAGAACCATCATTCTGATGCCGTCCTGGCTCACCCACAACTGAGCCTTCTGATTTGAAGGCTGATGCTTCATGGTGTCAGCTGTTGAAGAGGGAGATGGATTTGCTCGCTTCCTAACACCTGACAACTAGCTCTTTGGGGGCAGAATCACGAGCCCCATTTTGCTGTGACAATCAGGGACTCCGAAAGCACTGGTTAGGCAGGGATGTGAGACACGCCCCCTTTGCCTTGTTAACCCTACTGGCCACCATTGTGCTGAATTTCTAAAACACACCCTACCAGAGGTGATGGGTTACAGCTGGCCGAGTCACAGCGCCTCTGTTCCGCGTTCCGGCGCATTAACACTCTGCCTTCAAAGCCAGTCCCTGAGCCAGCACTCAGGCGCTCGCCTGTACTTCTGGCCACTGGCTGAGGAAAAACGGACCTGGGCCCAGGCATTTGGGTCCAGACTGGGCGACACAACAAGACCTCATCCCTTGCTTTTGTTTGTTTTTATTGGTACATATTTTCCACACATAATGTTCACATTCATCACAGGGAATTTGTACCTGTACATGACAGATCTTAATTCTTTTTTCCCCATCCCCTCTTCTTCTTCTTTTTGGTTTTTCTCCGGTACCGGGAACCGAACTCACGACCTTGCGCTTGCCAGGCAGGCGCTTTTGCCGCTGAGCTAAATCCCCAGCCCCTCCCCTCTTCTTCTTCAATCTTTCTTCCTCCCATTTACAAAAGCTTTGTTTCCATTTTTCCCTTCCATACTCTTTTTAAAAATTTCTTTTCCCTTCCTTCCTTCACCCTCCCCTGCTTCCTTGTTCCCCTTCCCATTTGGACATTTTTTTCTTCCTACTTCCCAATATCTATCCTCCGTTTTGTCCTTATTTACCCTTTAGGTTTCTCACACAAGAGAAACAATGCGCTAGTTTCCTAAAAACCTGAAATACTGCTGGGCATGGTGATGCACCCCTGTAATCCCAGCACTCGGGAGGCTGAGGCAGGAGGATGGTTGTGAGTTTGAGACCAGCCTGGGCTACAAAGTGAGCTCAAGGCCAGCCTGAACTGCATAGTGAGACCCTGTCTCAAAAAGACAAAAAAAAACAAAAAACAAAAAACAAACAAACACCTGAAATAAAATCTTGCCATTGGACTCATTTCTAGCCATTTGGTCCTAACCATGCTACCGATGACCACATGCTATGTGGTCAGGGACTCACATTTCTGCGCTCAGAATATTTAGCCATCAGGTTATCGTGTTACACTTGAGGATTTTCCACTTTGTTTGCGAACAGCCATGCTGGCTGGACATGGCATGCTGCACCTAGGATCCCAGCACTCTGGGAGGCTTAAGACAGGAAGACAGCACGCTGGAATCCAGCCCGGGCCACTTAGTGATTTATTTAGCAAAATCCTGTCTCAAAATAAAAGCTAAAGCATAGGCTGAGGATGTAGCTCAGTGTGAAAGCCCTGGGTTCAATCCCCCATAGGTACTGATTAAAATAAATAGTTTAAAAAACAACACTCCATGTGGCTACGCAAGTCACGCAAAATACCGAACACTAGACCGCTTCTAGGGGAGTAGGGATCTAGAGCTAAATTCTTCAGGTCAATGTTCTCCATGTTCTCCCCTCCCCCCTCCTCTCTCCTCCCTCCCCTCCC